AAAGAGAATGTATCTGGCCTCCGTCAAGCCTCCAAATGAGGTTATCAAGCTGTGACCTGATTGACAGGCTAAACTCTACCCCTTCACTCTTAATAATCTCAAGTTGACACAAGATTATGTAACTACCACACAATTAAACTAATTTTTGGTATGTTTTTTTATTTTTATCACTCTTCCTTCTGCTCATGAGCTTTTAAGATCGTAGTTATTACTCACCAAAATAGGATGTAAAACATTGTCTTTTTGAACTTTTTTGGCATGCCAAAAGACAAAAACATTATCTTTGTGAACTTTTTGGCATGCCAATTGACCTTAGTATCACATGAGTCTATGGTCCTGGTTCCCCAGGCCCAAAACTCTCCCTCAAAGTGTATGGTGATGTATAAGCAGTATTCATGACTTGGCAGGGCATGATTTCTTGTTAACCATTTGGACAACTGAAGAGACATGCTCTGAGGTAAAGAACTGATAATGTAGGGCCATTCTAGGCTTTGCTTTTAGAGAGATACTGTTCTAGTTGGTAAGAATGGTTCACTAGGTCTCAGGCACCATCCTAAGCATTTCACACATATATTGTGAGCTGTTATTGTTGCTCTTAAGTTTATTCCAACTCATGGCAAATTCAAATGTGCAGAGTAAATTTATACTCCCTAGTATTTTCAAGGCTATAAAGTTTCAGAAACATATCACCAGGCTTACTTCTGAGCCTCCTCTCTTGATTAGTAGTCTAGCACTTTATCATGTGTGCCACATAGAGACTCCTACCCTGTATATTTACTGGTGCCATTGAGTTGACTCTGACGCATAGCAACACTATGTCCAGCTGAATCAAACGCTGGTTGGTCCTGTGCCATTCTCACAATGGCTATGTCGGAGCCTATTGCTCCGACATATGCAGCCACTTCTTCCTCTTTCTGCTGGCCCTCTACTTTCAGGGACTGGCCTTTCCTGATAACATGTCCAAAGCATGTGATATGAAGTCTCATCATCCTTACTTGTAGGCACCCTTCTGACTGTATTTCCTCCAAGACAGAATTGTTTTTGCTTCTGGCTCTCCATGGTACTTTTATTCTTCACCAATTTTCCCCTCTGTTCATTGCCCAGCTTTCACATGCATATGAGATGGTTGAAAATGCTATATCTTGGGTCAAGCATACCTTAGTACTCAAAGGGACAGCTTTGCTCCTTAACATGACCTGTGAGTAATCACCACATTTTGCAAAGGAGGAAACTTGCCCAAACTCACAGGACCTGCAAGTGACATTTTTAAAAACTCATTCAGATTCAGTAGAATGTGGTGGAAACTCCTTGTGGATCCTGTTACTGTTGGTCCATGGACTACACACACACACACACACACACACACACACACAGATATATGAGGGACCTTCAAAAAGTTAATGGAAAATTTCTGTTATCTTTGAATGTCTTTTTTTCTGCTAACCTTTTGAAGCTCTACTATATAATTCAAAACCCATTGCCTTATCATCCATTCTCACTCATAACAACACTATAGAACAGAGTATAACTGCTTATTGCATTTACAGAGTTATAATCTGTCACAGTGCCTGATGGAGTTTCCTAACTTA